ATGCCAGGAGCGCCCCTAGTAGCGTCCTTGCTCCTAGTAGCGATGCCTTTTGTTCCTAGTAGCTTCTTGTTAGCAGTAATGCCAAGAGCGCCCTTGTTAGCAGTAGTGCCAGGAGCGCCCCCCAGTAGCGTCCATGCTCCTAGTTGCTGAGGAGAGCACTTGGCAATCTGTTTGCCTAGTACTGGGTGTCGACTCCTCGGATTTCGCAGAAGCAGTTGCCATCAACAGACCTTTCCAGAGGCCCAGGACCCAGGGCCCGTCCAAAACGTGAGGACAGCAACGCTAGACAAAGACCTGCCCAATACATTGAAGCAATTACTGAGTTGAAGAACTGCTACGTTAAACAGTTTGGAAGGTCGGTTGATGCAAAACTCGCACGGCTGCTGCTTTTTGGAGATTCCACCTCCAGCACATCCACTAAGGACTGCAACAAGTTTCATGTCAGTGCCAAGACATCAATGCATGAACTCCTTGAAAAAGGAAACAGGTGTGAGAAACCCGCAACTTTGTGTATTCTCCATTTTTATCTTCCCCAGACCTCAGGACTCTCAAGAGTGCAACAGTTGTTTCTTTTGATGCAGGCTTGCAGCATCTTTGTGTTTTACGAGGGCAAGTCTCCATACCAGTATAACAACACTTGTAGGATGTAGCTGGTGGTGCAATCCACATGCCACATACACTACAGGACCAGCAGCTTCTTGAGCGATGCCTTATGGCATTTGGAGAAGCAGCTGTCTACTTTGGTGGCCCACATCAGCTCAACCGAAAAGGCCGGGACCGGAGTGTGCGCTTTGTTTGGAGATTCTTTAACTTGTCTGGCTTTCACCTCAGAGAATACTTGTTTCAGCTGCTTAGTTTCTTCATTTGAGGCCTCTTGGTGCATGGCTTTTCGGACTTAGAAGGTGCGGAGGAGATTGCACCCGGTACACGCATATTCCAAGGAGGTGCAGAGGGTGGGTGTCAGGGCGTCATTTCTTTTGCAAAAGAAGGACGGATTATCGAGGCATAGAAGCGGTTGGTAAGGAGGCTTCTCCTGTTGCGAAGGCCTGGTGCGAAGGTGTCTGCAGGTCGGCAGGCTGGGAAACTGTACAGGTGCAGTAGCTGGAAGCGGAGGATCGAGGAAGCTTCTTGCTAAAAGAAACCGCTTCTGAACGATTTTAATACCAAATTTGAGAGAGAGAGAGAGTGTAGCGATCAAAAAGTATTTTGGAAGATCACTGAGGAAAGGGTGCAGTTTGTTTAAATGAACTGTTTACGGGTCAGGAAAGCTAGCTTCAGCTAGCTGGAGTCCCTCTTGCTGGTTTAGGGAGTGGGGCGAGGTCGATCGTAGTTCAACTCCCACCTCGATCGCAGTGGATACGGTCAATTCTCGCTTCTTAGAGGTTCGACGACTCCGTAGCTTTCGTTCGCCTCCCCAGCCTCAAGTCTGGCAAGGCCAATAAATCTTGGCCACTTTGTCTCTAAATAGGCAACCAAATCGAAGGAAGTGAGGCCCACAACGCAGCAAGAGCTGTTTGTCCCTCTTCAGGTGAAGAGGCCGCAATAGAGGCTATACTGGCTGGCAGGCCTGCACTGTGGCCAACGCTGTTCTGAAGTTCTAAGTATGCTGTAAGAAGGCTAAAGCGCTTATGATGCAAGGATGTCGGCTTTACAAGTTGGCCTGAGATGATAGGAATGTGCAGTGATTCATGTTGGCTCTTGTTAGCAAGTTTTACAAGAAAAGTTGTTTCAACTGACTTTCAAAGTCTTCCATGTTGCAGAAGCGAGGTACTCTCCGCTTGACTTCCGGTGGTTCATTGGCCGTCACCAGCAGCTTTGCACAAGAAGCCGTTCCGTTCTCTTCGATACGCACTTTTGGTTTTCCAGATGAGATCCGAGTCATTTGAGACATGGTTCTTAGCCTTATAAATTCTAAATATAATTCTTGTTACTACTAGTAAGGCACTTGTTACTAGAAGCGATGCACTTGTTTCTAGTAGCGAACATTGAAGCCTTTGAGGAAGCTCAACACCCGAGAGTTTGGATGGGTTTCAGTGGCTTGTGCCCGTCCTGTGGCACTGAAGCAGTGCCTGAGCCTTCCGAAGCCACTCTGGCATGAGGCGTGGGTGGTTGAATTTGGGGTAAAGCAGGGAGTTCAAACCGGCAGAACGAGAACGAGGGCTGAGTGATGTGTTTTTGATTGCACGCATGAATCACATGAAAGGCAATTCTACTCATGTCTGACACAGATCTAGCATGAGAGCAACATGGAACTCGCCTTGCAGGTTATGGAGCTTTGCGGTGGTGAGCATGCAGAGCTGAGCCGTTTGGAATTGCTGAAGCGAAACGACGTTGACCAGGAAGCAGCGGGCAGTGTAGCAGCGCACCCACAAATTGCTGACATTGCTCATTGTCTTTTAGCACATGCTTGGCGTGCTTCTGTTCTTGGAGGAGGCAGAGGTGGAGGAAGAGGAAGTGTCTGACGAGACTGGACAAGAGAGGAGTGAATAGCTTGCGAAGAAAAATGTGCTGACTTCATACACTGCACTTCCGGATGCCGTGTTGGTGTGAGAATGCCGTGCTTGATGACTAAAGCAATATATTAACAAAAAGTTCCCAGCTTCGACTATGCGAAGACCCTGAGCCCTGTTGCTCAGTAGCTTAATTCACTTATTTTCCCATACTTCTTACTCCTTACCTTTACTTGCTACCTCCTAGCGGTCCTATCCTCTCAAAAAGCATCAAAAAGGTATGTCACCATGGCCAGAATTTGTCGCTTGCCAGATGCCTTTCGAATGGGGCACCGCCGGTTGCGCCGTGAACGCAAACGCCCAGGGAGCGCCATTAGGAGCACGGAAACTTGTGACGCTTTGTTCCTAGAAGCTTCTTGTTCCTAGTAGTGCGGCCAGGAGCCCCTAGTAGCGTCCTTGCTCCTAGTAGCGATGCACTTTGCTCCTAGTAGCGTCCTTGTTCAAGCTTCATTTATTTTCTTTGGTTTTGACCAATCTTCAGGATTATTCTTGGGAAGGGGGTAGGTTCTGAAGGGGGAGGTGGTCGAGCGGCAAGGTGCTGGCTAAGCAAGCTGCGCAAGACAGCTACTTTTTTTCTTCTTTCTTTTACCCTGAAGCTGTTGCAAGCAGAAGCACTAAGCGCTGGGTCGTGCCGTGCCTTCAACTCTTTATCCTTCCATTTCAGGACGGTTGCTGACCTGATGCGGAACTGGACCACATACCAGCCAGAGGTCACCGAAATATGCTTGGCCATGTGACACCGGACGTTTGTGTGACCTGCTTTCGTGGCCTTTGAAAGGATCCTCAGAAGGCTGCGAAGCCTGCTGATGTCACCCTTGATGCTCCGGACGACAAAAGTGGGCAAGAAAGCAGCGCCCTATGGGCTTAGCTGCGGGTGTCCCAGCTAAGGTTCGCTTGCTGAGAGTGTCATCCTGCACAACAAAGTGCTGTCAGGCGTGGTTCTCAGATTTGCCGATGGCAGCCTCTTTTGAAACGCAGAAGACATTATATCACATTGAGTGACTTGGTGCACTTTCGAACTGAAACAGCGGCACAGTGCGATCGACCAAAAAGGCGAAGGCGTCTAGAAAACTCAAACATGCAAAGCAAACTCAATTTGTCGAGTAGTCTTTCTGGATCCGACCAATCCCATGAAAAGCAATTCTTTCCCAAAGCTACGGCACACCAATTTCCTTTGGATCACATCCTGGATGGATTCCTCTATATGCACGAAGGCTGTTTCATGCCTTACCACTGTGAATGGCACATGTATTGATGCCGGTGCAGGGTGCTGCTGTGAGATGCACATGGCTGTGTGCGCTTTGAAGCTTGGGTGCTGGTGCCTCTGCAGGGTGTTGCTGCCAGATGTCTATGGCAGTGGAGCCTGTGTGTAATGTTTTTTGCGGGGTCTATGCTGGCGTAACTTGTCCACGTGCATTCTTCGCCTGCAGAATCCGTGCAAGTGCACAAATACTTCGCCTTCAAAGCGTCACACTTTCCATCCGATGGAAGGCGAAATTCCTGGTATAAATCACGCAAGCTTCAATAAGACGCCTCAATAAATAGGGTGAACTAGACCATTGATCACTGCACGCTACAATGGAATCTTCTTCAGACTCTGAAAGCTTCAACTCAAAGTGCCCTGGCCATGAGAAGCGAGGCATCGTTGAATGGTTCAACCGATTGCCCCAGCGTTTGTTCAGCCCTGCTGACCTCAAGTTTGTGTTCGCACCCCGAGAGTCCAGACCTCCCTCCAGTTGCAATTCAACGGCGGAAGGAGCCCCAAGTCGTTTTGGAACCCATTTTGTGGCTCCCGAGGCTTGTCGGCTCTACAGCGTGATGCACTCAATGCCGACAGTTGGGCGAAGTGACAGATTTCGATGTCGCACTGAGGTTTGGAACACGAACTCGAGCTAACGTTTCGGGCTGTTCAGGACATTCCAGTTCTGATGGTCTGCTTCTGTTTGTTTGTGCAACAGCAGGAAACCAGACGCGAAGGGCTCAGAGGCGTGGTGCTGAGTATTTATTCTTGGTTCTTTCAACACGTATCATAAAAAAAGAGTAAGACAGTTCCCGATTTGTGCCGGATCCTCACTTGCAGAATGGAATGAAGATGCTCCAAGCGCACGGCCCGTTGCTGGGAACTTGGTGAAGGAGTTGCCGTCAAAGCTTTCCTGTCCCTGCACTGGGGTGCGCTTGTTAAGGTCAACACCGGAGAAGAAGTCTCCTTGTCGTCGCCAGACTTTGCTTCAAACAGTTTTTGAGTAAAGATCCGCGGAATGCACCTGATAGCGATGGCCTCCAACCTTTGGTAAGTTTCCCTAAAATCTAGGAACCAAATGAATAGTGAAAGCATGAGCTATCCTGCGTCCTGTCGGTAGTAGCTACTTAAGCTACTAGCGACCCGACTCCCTTGCTTCTACTAGCTACCTCTGGCTACTACCCCCTCTAGGCCTTTCCCCTAAATAAAAGAAACAATTGGGGAGTTCAAATGCAAGATCCAAGCACCATCAGCTTTGCAGCGACACATGTTTGAGGTTAGAGCTTCAAGGGTCCGTTCGGACGAGCTACGGCAAGGACTGGTCCCTCTTCAACGAGCTAGCCAGACAAGCAGACTTGACAGAAATAGCAAGCAGAATGGGATACTGGACAGTGCTGTGGTAAAACAACATAGTGTGACTAAGTTCCTGAATTGTAGGCACATTCACTCGTGCTGCGAGTACCATGGGCGTTCGCCTAAGCGGGCATCCGTGGAAAGAGTGAATAGCGCACTCAGAACATCCCAATACTGTATTTCCCCTTCAGTCAGGCCTTTGTTGCAGCCTTAGCCAACGCATTACGTTTTCACCTGAAAAAATTGGGCAAAAGGCCCATGAAATGATTTATGCTAAGGAGATTCTGCCAGGCTCTGCTACAGGCTCTGCCCCAGGCCCTGCTCCGGTCCTTCTTCACCGAGTCACAACATCTCTTGCCAGGTGGGTCCACTCCATCAAGGCCATGCACGCTCGTAACCAAGAACAAGAGCCTTGAGAGAACAAGTACGTTTGTTTTTTTCCAAAAAGAACACGAAGCACAAGACACTTTCAAAAGACATCTGCAGTCCAGGCCCAGGCTGGAGACACCCTCTGTGTCGGGATCCTACCACTACACTGAAAGTAGTTGTTATTTGTGTTCTGCGTTCGATTCACTCATGGAACCATTTCAAACTATGCAGGGATGCTGGCTTTGCTTCTGCTGGTGAAGGTGATCAAACTGCAAATGGACTGCATTGTCTCACATCAAGTTCCTTCATTTGTACACCCCTAAAGAGAACGGCTAGTGCACTTCCGACTTCCCCTTCGCTCTAGACACGTTTCCGCACATTTGTGTGAACGTGCACTATAAGCTTCTAGTAACAAGGTGCATCGCTACTAGCAAGATGCGGGGGGATTTTGTGCACTCTGTCGTTTGGTAGGTGATACGCCTCGCTGGACTCGTTGGAGCGATGGCAAGCGGAGGCAGAGTGAAGAACCGATGGCAGCTGCGCCATGCTGTACGGGTCAAGCGGGTAAAAGGGTGTACAGATTGTACAGTAACACGGTGTGTACCCGGTGCCTGTTGCAAACCCGAGAGGCCCAGCATTATACTGTAGTCATCATCACTCACGCCTGCTTCCCCATTATCACTTTTGACAACCACGACAAAACGTCACCCGCTACCCGCTTAATTGGAGAACCTTTCGATCTGCAAATCAACATGAGCAAGCTACCCATATTCTGCAACATGAACGAGTGCGCTGCAAAGCTTTAGGTCTTGGCCACTTGATATTCAGCCTGGCAAACAAGTACCTTTTGATTTGATTTACCTTCCCAAGCAGTCCTGCAGTGCAAACTTCAGGGCACCAGGCTGCAAGATGACGGGCGACCATTGCGCCAAACTCATTACGATGCCGGAAGCTCAAAGCGTTTCTTTGAAGCCTGAGGCCATGCCTTGAATATTTGCCTTCAGGACTGACATCCGAAATGTTCGTGCGCTCTCTGAAGACAGCTTGGAACTAACAGCAGCTATATAACTACGTGCATCTTAGAACTTATATACCTGACCCAACTCTACTAACCTCATCTCACCTCATCTTGCCTCTTTCCCAACTAATCGGCTCAGTTTCCTCAAATAGCCCCTGGGCTGCTGGTTTGTGGACGAGACCGTTCGATGAAGGAACGGGTGCCAGAAACACTGCTACTGCAGAGACTACCTGCTGGAGATTTAGGCACAAACGTTGTTTTTTTGATTGAGGTATTCTGTGCCTCAACGATGGACATTCTCTCATGGGCTTAGCGATGAGGCGGTGGCTAAAGGGTTTAGAAAGCTGCGAAGGTTCTTGGAATGCTCCTGACCCGGTCTGACACCTAAAGCTTTGCATATCTTTGCATCTTTTTTTTGCGCCTTTGATGATCGGTACTTTGCTTATTGAGGCCAATCGACAGCAGGGAGCCCAGCTTTACTTCCATTTTGGAAGGTTTTACAGAACCCTGCCTCAAGGCCCAACAGATCTGAGTGGTTGCGCTACGTGGAAGAGGAATGCGCTCATGACTCAGAGCAATAGGAAAAGAGCAGCTTGAGAAGATCCAACTTTTGATTCCAAATTCCATCAAGGGTCGAGAGTCTAAAGTCCAAGGCTTAAAGCAACATATTAACATAGTTGTATTTCCACTCTTCCCCCAAACTGAAGGGATTCTTGCAAAGAGCGCAATGTCAAGGTCCACACGTAAGGTTGTGGACCAATGTTGTTCACTCTGGCGTCGCAGTGATTCTTACGTGTGCAGGTACAGACAAACTTGTCGTGGAAGAAATGTCTATTCGTTTAGTATAGGGTACAATGCCATGGTTGCGCAAGATAGACCGAATAGATGGAAATGGGTCACAATTCGTTTGATTCGGTGAGCATTCTAGTGTTCTCAAGATTCAGTATGCTTTTTCGCTGTGACGCTGTGGAATGTCAGTGCTGCAAATGGCTTTGAGAGGTGGCAGTAAATGCGAGGTTGCATGTGGGAGGGTTCATGTAAGTTCAATGCTCTCAGACATGCAGAATGAGCACCTTCTGGTATGCTTCCGGAATCCGAAGCCGGTTATATGCGCTCCACTCTTCAAGTCTGACCATGTTTGACCTGCGACAGTTTATGGTTATCAGTGTCATAAGTCATAAGTACTCTATTGAGTGTGACCATTGAGTGTGCATTAAGTGTAGCGTCACTATGTAAGGCTGTAAGGTTGAGCGAGCCAAGGGCTTGGGTTTGATCCATTACATCGCATCTGCAGTAGGCAATATCAGGAGAACTCTCCTTTCTAAAGGCCACAGGGTCAAACCTCTAGTTGAGCCGCAAGATCTTTCACCCAAGACGAATCCGCCTACCTTCACTGAAATTGAGGACACTCATGTCTGCCTTCCTGGATTGAACAGGCAGCTTTTACGGCCTGTCACTAAACAAGGTGGCCCCTGGTCACAACCAACATGGACCCGAGAAAGATGAGCAAGACAACATGACCTCAACACAAAATATGCATTTGCACCAATGTTTAAAGCTTCGTGAAGCAGTTGGGTATGTACAGCTTGCGATGGCGGAGTTTTGGGAGGTGAAGTGGTAGGTGCTGGAACTTCCTCACTGCACACAATTGTGTCTGGACACAACTGGAACTGTGCTCTTCCAAGCACGCAACGAACCATGCATGAAATGCCCTGCCGGTGTTTCATAGCTGGCTTGCATGTTCTGACACTTGGCGTGTTCACTCGTGTGTGTCACTTGTGCGTTCACTGTTTTTGGTTGATACGCTGGCAACTGTGAGGCGACCCGAGAGGAGACTTTGATCACCAGGTTGGATCAACATCTTCAGGCTGAGCCGATCAACATCTACTCTGATCCATCCGTGAGTGAAACTTGTGGGTTGACAGGTAAGACAGGAAGCGCGAATGTCTGACGAGGCTCAGAGCGTCTTGGCTGTGAGAATTTTGGAAGCATTCAATATGTGTTCTCTGCAGGAAGATGGCCACTTAAGGCTCCAAAGAGAGCTGCCACAGGGATGTCGTTTTCGCCCCAGTGTTTTTTTTTTTTTTTAATCTTCAGCATCGTTATTTCCTGATAGAACTATCTATCTATTTGTTTGTCTATTAGTCAGAATTGCTTGGGCTGCAAGGACTGGAGGACTATTTGACTGATATTCGTGAAGTGATTCGCTTTATTCGTCGAAGGCCTCAGGCTAAACAAAATGAAGCCCAAAACGAGACGACAGTCACAATGGACAACAAGTTGCAACAAGTTGGAAACGGGTGTTGAGTCTGTCCTCATTGGAAACGGTTGTTGACCGGAGTAGAAGAGGCAAAACTGCAGTGGTTGTTGAGGCCATGGTCTGCCCGCAGCTGCACGACTGCCGGGCGCTTTGGAATGTCAGTGGGATTCTTCCACAAGCTGGGAGAATTGTTGATAAACGAACTTTGACGCAGTTTCTGGTAGGGAAGTTGGCCACCAAGAACCAAAGTAGTAAGCTACAGCTTGTAGCCAAGGAAGCTATACACCACATTGTCACTACATGCAAGGATACAAAGATCCCCCCGGAAACTTCCTCCCTGGACCAAATGTTTCCCAGATTTTGGACAGTTGGGCAGCCTTGTGCAACAGCAACCTGAAATGTGTAGGAACAAGAAGCTACGAACAGGGCTGCCATCGCTACTAGGAGCGACGCTACGAACGGCTCCTGGCCGTACTAGGAGCAATGTTTGCGAAGAAACGGCTGTTCCTGCCACGGCTGTTCCTGTTTCGTTTCCGTTTCGCATCTCGAGTTCCGTCCTTTGGCCCCCCCTTCGAACACGAGCTTCGCTTCAGGTCACATGAAGGTTCTTGTCCATCCGTGATCCCTACCGGTTCTCAGTAGGAGTTGATTTCTTCGGCTACAGCCCAAACTGGAAGGCTGTGTATGGGCTGTAGCTTGCTACATCGAGGGAACTGAAGCCATGCTCAGGTTATGTCAAAGCGTGACGCAAAATGTAGCGACGAACACCAGGCTTTGAATGTGTGTTGAAAGAAACTTCAGGTTGGAAGGGGCTGTGAAAGGTGCTGCTTTGACCTCAGACTGACCGAATTCGTTCTGCTGTGTTTTTGGACTCGGACAACCCCTGAAGATGCTAAATTGGTTGCAGATGCAGGTTTTGGCGGTTGATTCAGAATTGGAAGCTACACAGCAGGAACTGGCAAGACGAAAGGCGTGGAACTGGCACAGCTTTGCGCCGTGCGGATGCTGTCCAGACGCCCTTTTCTTCGTAGCAAACATTGCTCCTAGTACGGCCAGGAGCTACTAGTAGCGTCCTTGCTCCTAGTAGCGATGCCCTTTGCTCCTAGTAGCTTGTTCCTGGTCAAGAAGATGTGTGATACAAATTGCAGAGGTCAGCCAAGATGCCTTAGCAGAAGCTCACATGGAAATTGAGCAGCTGAGGCACCTTGTGATCTTGACCATCAGGGTTAAGAGGGGGAGATTTGAAAGCCCAGCTTGCGAAGCAGCACTTTGCAAGGGACGATTTGGCTGCGACCCAGCAACAGAATGCAGAGCTAAAGGCCAATTGTGCTTTAGATTCTAGATTTTGGTTGAACAGAATTTTTGAGAGAGGGAAAGAGGGGTGAAAACTGCTTCTCTGGCAGAAGCAACTCTCCATGGCGGACGATGTGAAGCAGACCGAGGTGCGGAGTGAAAGGCGGTTTCATATAGTTCAGCAAAGCTCAAGCTTCTCATTCTTCAACCTATTAATGATGGGCTCCAACCTACTAGCGATGGCCTCCAACCTAATAGCGATGGTCCAACCAAATAGCGATGATGGCCTCCAACCAAATAGCGATGATGGCCTCCAACCTAATAGCGATGGTCCAACCAAATAGCGATGATGGCCTCCAACCTAATAGCGATGGCCTCCAACTTAATAGCGATGGTCCAACCTACTAGCAATGGTCCAACCAAATAGCGATGATGGCCTCCAACCTAATAGAAGACGTTTTACACAGAAACAGTTTCTTCAGTGTCCCACCAGACGCAACCCTGTGTCTTGAGCACAGTATACACATGTATACACGATTTTGAAAGGCAAAACATGTCGTGCGAGAGTCTCGTCACGGTGGAGTCATGCCCATTCAAGCTCCCATTGAGGTCACATTTTGAACGTTGTTAGGTGTTCTTTTGCTCTAAATAGGGCCACATTTTCTTTGCTTTATGCAGTTTCGAAGATGCATGTGACTTGGCAGTTGAAATTTCCATCTTCTATGTCTTTGTTACCCTCTCCGTCACCAAGCGCCGGCAGCTCAGTCTCGGAAAGCAGAGAGATGCCGCAAAAGTATTTTTTCCAGCCCACGCGTGCAGCCAGCCTGCCATTGCAGACTCCGCGTGTCCACGGAACCAGCAACATATTAGAATGTGTCGCATTCAAAGCAACCGTGGTTTTCTTTGGCAACAACTTATTGCAAGGCCTCGGCGCATCTGCTGTTTTACCTGCCCTTTAGACCGAAAAGTGGGCTTATCTTCGGGAGCCAGATTGAGTGGTAATCCACTTAGTTACATCCACGCGCGTCCAGAATTATTGGATCACGGCACCCCCGTCAACTCTGGCTGATAGCGGGCCAACTTACAAAAGGTTAAGTCCATTTCATTATAACAAACATTGCCTTTCTGACCCTGGTGCCTTGGAGGTAATGAGATAGGCCTTGTGAAAGTGACAGTGGAAAGCTCAGGATTCCTCGCGATCTGTGATTCGAGCGCCCGTATAGAACTGACTGAAGGAGTTTCAAGGGCGTATTTTGTGCGTAAGATTATTTGCTCAGCCGCTGCAAACCTGATCAAGAAAAAAGAAAAGGGTTCCCTTCTAGTAGGGTCTTACTACCACCGTGCCCCTACGGTCTTAAAACTTTAGTTCCGCAATGCAGGCCGCAGGGCTGTTGCTGGTCTGCTGGCTTGCTTGTGTACTATGCTGCTGTTTGTCTGCTGGAAGCATGCTTACGGATTGCTTCGGGCAATGCCCTCCATTTCAATAGAGCAAACATTGCCCTTCTGACCCAGGTGCGTCGTAGGTAGTGAAATAGGTCTTGTGAAAGTGGAGTGACAGTGGAAGGTTCAGGGTTCCTCGTGTGTCAAGATGCCTGGGGCAGTTTGTTTGTATAGACAGCTTGAGTTGATCAGACAGTGGCACAACACCCGTTACATTCTCAAGAGCCATCACCATCGGTACGTAATAGCAAAAAGCCAAGCACCAAACGCCCGACATGTTAGAAACGAGCCAGGGCCACTTGGATTGGAGTAAAAAAGTACCAAAGGGTTCCACGGGCGGCGTGTTCTCGCCGTTTTCGTTTTTTTTTTTGCATTTTTTCGCGTTGTTGCCGGTTGTCTCGGATCTCGCCGTTTTTCCGGCTTTCGCCGTCTTCGCGCCGGATGCTTGCAAATCCTCTGAGGAGACACCGCAAAAGACCATTGCGCAGGAAATGTAGGTATGTATGTCTGTATGTCTGTCTGTCTGTATGTAGGTATGCATGTATCTATTTTTTTCCTAAAGTTGTTCTTTTTGACCCAGCTGCCAGCCGCCGCCGCTGCCGAAGGTGGCCACACCCATGTTAGAAGAAGTCGACATTGACTGTCTCATCAGTCTCGTGGGTCCTTGAGATGCTTGTTGACCCGTTTCAACATAAGCTCCATTGAACCCGAACCCCCTTCGTGCCACTTGCATCGATATGCACGTTGATGACGTGGTCCGGCTTGTGACTTCCCAGTTTGACTGCCAAGATGAAGTGAAAGGCAAAAATGTCGTGCGAGAGTCTCGTCACGGTGGAGTCATGCCCATTCAAGCTCTCATTGAACGTTGTTAGGTGTTCTTTTGCTCTAAATAGGGACACATCTTTCTTTGCTTTATGCAGTTTCGAAGATGCATGTGACTTGGCAGTTGAAATTTCCATCTTCTATGTCTTTGTTACCCTCTCCGTCACCAAGCGCCGGCAGCTCAGTCTCGGAAAGCAGAGATGCAAGGAATCCAAGCATGTACCAGTTTAGAGAGAATCTCTGAGATCCGAAGTGTGACGTCTCCAAGAAACCGCTGAGTGCAAGTGGGTCAAGTGTGGCGATGGGAAGATCCCTTTTGCCGCATTTCGCTTTCAAGACTTTCACCCTCAAGCTGAAATGGAGCTTCAACGGGTCAAATGGAGTCGATGCTGAGTGCTTTGGCATAAAGCTCAAAGATAAGAACAGGATCCAACAGGAGATGAGGAAAATGACGGTAAGATAGTAAGGCCTCGTTTAAAGGGACCTTACCGCCTTAATTTGGTTCACTTCTTTTTGGATACTTTTCTTCTCCTTGAGCTTTGGTTTAGCCTGTGGCCAAGTTCCATAAATCTAGCAGCTTGCTTGACTGCCTCGCAGCTACCAGCTCTACTCCTTTGTTTGCTCTCTGGTCAACTGAAGCAAGTGCATGGATTTGGGCACGTTGCATCCATTTGCATCCTTTTTTCGTTGCTTATTTTTTAACATCATTCAGTTCGTCACATTGAGCTTTCGAAACGATCAATTTCAGAAGACTCTCATGCCGGAAAATGCTGGACACTTGGAAGAGCTGACATTTGGAGCGACTCAGAGGAACCTAATAGCAATGGCCTCCAACCTACTAGTGATGGCCTCCAACCTAAGAGCGATGGCCTCCAACCATTATTTTAAAGGATTCTTGACATTGATTCGTGTGGAGCGTCCCCATCACGACCAGATCAGGCTAAGCTGATTCTTTGAGTCCAGATCTCAGTATGCATGATTCATGAAATTGTGCAATGTGTTGGTAAGACACATATGAAGATTCATGTCATGCTTCTACGCTTAGAAAATAATGCACGTGATATGTATGCTGTCCTGACACAACTTACTTTGTTGTCAAGAGCTGGCTGTCTAAGGAAATGGCGGCCCTGTCCAATCCTCAATGCCGCAGCCACCCTTGTTTCCTTAAGCTGCTTTTTAAGCCATTGCAGCCAGTTCAAGCTGTTCATACAGCGAAAGAAGAAGAGATGCTCTAGAAATCTTGCAATTTGTGTTTAAGAACTGCAGAGACAAGAATCAAGGCCGCCTTATCTGGGCTTTCCACAAGAGCAGTCCGTCTCATAGACCTGAGCACATGAAAACACCGCACTCCTGAATCACCACTTAAGCGTTCATTTGTTTACATTGCTTGAGAGCAGTTTTTTGGTCTCGCTTCTAAGCTCAGTGACCTGAGGTTTCTGAGTTGCCCACCATACCAACATTTCCAACTTGCACAGTCTGACTCCAATGCAGCTTCTGGCTTCTCTGAGTTGCGCTTGGTATTGGTATAAATTTCATGATATTTGAGCGTGCAAGCTTGATATCTTCTGCGATTGCTGTCTTAAGCTCAAACAAACTACTGGTGGCTTCGCCGGTTCTGAACAGGGTGGTTCGCTGTCCTTTTTTGCCTGATTGAAGGCTGATGTCGACACCAGAAACCGGTGAGATGCAGGAAGTCAACCAAATGTACTATTGGATTTCCAAAGATGGGACTTGGTGGGCTTCGCCCTATCCGTCCTATCCCTCACAGCCTCAGGAGAAGGATTCGGTCGAAGGATTCGCTCCAAAGACGGCGCAAGGCCCGGTGGAGACGTCAGATCGCACAGAGGTGCCCCGGCACATTCACTGGTGTTTTCACTAAGCTTTTCTCCAATTGATAAATTTTACACTTTTTCTTGTTTCAGTCACAGTTTGCATGAGGTACCAGAGGAAAGCGATATGGTGGAGGGCCGCCTCAGTGCTAGTGCTGCTCGGCGCCTTCGTCGCAAGCGTGCTGCTGAACGATCCAGAGAAGCACGACCTGAGACTGACACAGTTTACAAAGAAACACACAATGAAGGACAGGACCATATGATGGTGCAAGCTAGTAGGTTGGGAGGCCATTGCTATTAGGTTGGAGCGAGGCCTTTTGCTAATATTCTCCAGGACCATTTGGTGCAAGCAACTCTCGTGACCTGACACTTGATGAACTCCGCGATGAGCTTCATCGAAATCCGGTGCAGGGCATACAATGTTTGCGGGGACAGGTTTGGCGCCTGTCGCGCGATGCAGTTGGCTGTCGACTCGTTCAAGAAGCACTAGAACTCGGCAGCAAAGGAGTAGTGGATTTGGCGCATGAGTTGCAGGGCCACGTCCTCGAAGCAGTGATGTGTCCAAATGCTAACTATGTGGTGCAAAAGGTAGTATCACACTTATCTGTGGCAGCAAGCAGCTTTGTCGCCTGGGAACTTCAAGGCAATGCGGTGCGTGCAGCCAAGCATCGTTTTGCTTGCCGCATTTTCTGCCGACTTTTGGAATTCTGTGGCACTGGCCCAACCTCTCAACTGGTTGATGAGTTTCTCGATGCTGCCGAGGAAAACCTTTGCACGCACAGCTTTGCGCACCACGTGGTTCAATCCATTTTGGAGCATGGTGAGGAGCGGCATAAGAGGCTCATTGCCAAGATGTTGATGGCAGATCTTTGGAAGCATGCGACGCACAAGAACTCCAGCTATCTCATAGAGAAAGCTCTTTGCTATTGCGACGATGAAGATCAAAATTCTTTGATTGCCAATCTGGGGTATCCACAGGCTTTGCCTTTGCATTCCATGTGCAAGATAGATCCCGCCTAGTAGTAGTTCACTTTCGATGTAAAAGCTTAGTCGAGTTGACTTTGTCCCCAGAGATCTCGAGCAGGCCCTATTGGACTTGGCCATGACGCAGTATGGAAGCTTCGTTGCACGAGCACTGCTCCAGGACAGCCGTGTGAATGCTGATCTGGCAACACGTCATATTCGACGTCATCAAGGAGATTTGGAGTCCACAAAGCATGGGTTGCTTGCACACAAAATAAGATGCGAGGTTGTGCTTCCGACTGTGGTAACCAGGTCTAGCCACCTGTCAATGTCTAATCAGTTGCTTGCCATGCTAACAAGATCTGACATGATGCAACTGTTGGTTTGACGACATCCCTCATTTGAGGCATCGCTTCCTCATCGATATTGGTCTTGAGCAGTGAAAGCTGTGAGATTGTCCTTTTGCCCGTTGTGGCGTCAACTAGCCCGTTGCGGTGTTTGTACAGATTGGCCCATCGGTTTGAGTTTACTATATACGTATGCGGCATTTCAGTGAGATTCTTGTGACTGTGTCTCAACCTTCCAAACCCCTGAGCCAGTACAACTCATGTACAGCGCATGGCATGCCAGAAAAAATGATCAGGTGTTGTTCTTGATCTTGTTTGGTGAGGGTTATAATTTGCTTAGATGAAATCCAAGGACCAGCCACTTGCCACAGGCCGACATGGGTGCCTTTGTGACTCACGTGACCGATCAACTGGCACCGACAGGTCTTCTTTCCGCCTCTCTTCCCACCGCCGCAGCCTGACTCAAGGGGCAAAGCCGGAGCAAAGCCCCCACCAACTGACCCTGCCAAGCTTGTAGGCAGGCCTTTCCATTTCAACCACAAGCTCAGCAAGCTCCTGCAAACGGAAAGAGCCTCAGGGTTTTGAGTCTTGAAGTGAAGTCGACAAAACGTGCACAACCAAGTTAATGAGCTGATTTGAGGCCTTGCAACTTTTGGCCTCGAAGTCCAAGTACAGGACCCGACTGACAGACCGACAGACCAGCTTTTAAACCCCGCAGATTGATCTCACTCTCAGATGCACGGCGATGCAGTGGGAGACAAAACCAAGTTCTTCTTTTCCCCGTTCAGGATGACACTGATGAATCCTCCTCAGGCTCGGGTGTGGGGCAGGAAAACAAAGATTCTAAAGGAATGAAAACAGGTCTGCTATCAGTTCTAGGGTTTATCCGGTTCGTTGTGTTTCTCCTTGGTTTCCATTGTTTCCTTCGATGATCTTTGATTGCTTTTGTTCTTTGTCCTTCTTCCCTTCAACCGCTGCGCATTGCACTTTGCTTCACCTCAGGGGAAGAGGAAACCGAAGCCGTCCAGAAACGCCGTCGCAAGCGTCGGCGCAAGCGCAAGCCCAGACCCCAGAGAAGGCGACCTCAGGTCACCGAATGGCCCAAAAATATTCAGAGTCTCAGAGAGTTTCAAAAGGCGCTCATCCGGAGACTTTGCTCTTTCCGAGGCCTAGACCTTTGAGAAAGAAGCCTGGTCCACAATGATCAAGCTTTCACTTAGCACAAGGGACTGGGATGGGGGTCTCAGAGTTCGTCACCGACAGCGAAGGCCATTGCCACCAGCAGAAGCTACTTTGGAGGCGAGCAGAACTACGAATCAACCGAATCATTCCCTTCGTCTTGCGGCATCAAACTACAACCTGCCAGCTAAATCATTACCCACAAGAGTAAAAATGCAGTATTTGGTCAGAGATGGTCAGAGTCTTGAACCGTTTGTCTAATGTCGGGCCAGTGTCACCATAACACAGGATAATACAGCTAGGCAAGTTCTATCTGTCTAAATCGTTAGAACCGGATAAAGTGGAGTCTTTCGGGCAAGCCTTGAATATTTTCCCGGAGCCACTTTGCACAAGCTTGTACGGGGCCAATCCGGGTGTAAGCCATATGAGCATTGAAGAAGAGCTTGTTTCCAGGCTTCTAGGTTGGAGGTCATCGCTATTAGGGGGAGGCCATCGCTAGTAGGTTCCCCATCCGGGGGTTTGGTGTCGCCGTCATTTCACCGCAGAGCGCAGAGTATGCAACTTGCATCAACTTGCGGCATTTCTTTCAATGGCCTCCACCCTAGTAACGATGGCCTCCATCCTAGCAATGGACTCCAACCTAGCGATAGCCTGCAACCTGATAGGAATGCCCCCAATAAAGCCAGGTCGGTCATTTTCTGGGTCGCTAGTAGACGGGAGCGAACACTTCATTCCATTTCAATGTCAAGTTTGCGGAGGAATTTTGCTTTCAACTTAGTAGCGTCCTTGTTCCTAGTAGTAAGGCCAGGAGCCCCTAGTAGCGTCCTTGCTCCTAGTAGCGATGCCCTTTGCTCCTAATAGCAAACATTGCTCCTAGTATTCTTTTTAAGAAAAACCTTTAGACATTTCTCAATCTTAACAAATGCGCTTTCAACATTGGCGGAGTGCTTTCAGGAGGTGCCGCTTGATGGCGGCGGCATCTCAGGCCCATTGGCGTTTCGCATTGGGTGGAGCTGTGTCAGGAAGCCGAAGCGCAGAAACGAAGTAGCAGTCGTTGCTGCAAAGTAGTTTCAATGTATTTAGGGTCTTTCAGAGCTTCGTTCTGCTTGGGGTCACAAGGTCTTACATGATGTGCATCGAAGAAGCTTCGTTTCCATTCGGAAGAAGGTGTGGCACAAGACGGAGAAACAAGAGACATATATACATAGAAAGACTGTGTTTTGCAACTGCAGGCCTTCAATTCTGATGTGCTTGCACGCTGGCGGTGCCTTGGGCCATTTTGCGTTCAAGCAACTCTTGACAGCAACATTGAGTTCTTCTGCCAGTTGTATGCTGATTCGATCTTGCTTCCATTGTTCTAATTCTTCATTTGTATCATTTGTGTTGCTGCTTGAAATGAGCCTCCGTGTTGCAGAGAAGATTGAAGATCAAACTTGTCCGAAGCGTGAATTTTGGTTCACTAGACCTTAAGGAAGCAAGATAGGAAGTTAACACACACACACACCCGACTAAGCAGTACTTGAACTCAGTGGACCGCGCTTGTTTCCAGGCTTCAAGGTTGAAGGCCATCGCTATTGGGGGGAGGTCATCGCTTCTAGGTTGGAGGCCATTGCTTCTAGTTTCAAGGCTTCTACTATAGATGAAAGTGCCGCAGTTGTCGCTCTCACACTGTAATTATGTTTTCCACGCGTCAAGGGTGGTACAGAGCATTACACTCTCCAACACTAACATGGACCCTGAGAATGGCACCCTGAAAGACGGTTTTGCCTTACAAACCAGCTCCCCCCAAATAGTAATGGCCTCCAACCTACTAGCGACAGCCTCCAACATACTAGCAATGGCCTCCAACCTACTAGCGGTGCCCTCCAACCTACTAGCAATGTCCTTCATCAACCTTAACTAAATAAGAACTGGGCCTGCTGCTTTCCTTGAGCACGAGCTCACGTGCTTCAGCTACATGCACAAAATGACCACAATATTTGTTCTTATCTAAGCACATCAACTGAGAGTTTGGCAGGCAAAGACTTATGGCGAAACTCGTGTGGTGCAAGCCCGAGCGGCCTCCCAAAGAAGGCACAACTTGCTCACAAATTGCCCTTAGCTTTTCAATACGTGTGAACCAGATGCACACAAAGATTTTGACAGAGTCAATCGGATCGGGCGGTCGTTGGACGGTCGTTGCGCCAGGCAAGAGCCAGGAGGTGCTTGAGGACCCTTTGCTCCCGCGAAGTGCAGCTTGGCTGACTTTGCCGAGCTGTCGCTGTGAGTACGAGGCACCACGGTTTTGTCGCTGTCGCGATTGCGTGAGGACAGTTCCATACAGTTCCAATAGTTCCAGTTCTTCAATCTCTAAGCTTTGGTCTAATCGGTTCCAGCCTACTTCAGCACTGCCAGTACGCGGGGCTTCGCTTTCCACCAGTGAATATGCCGGCCTGGTTCCTGGAGATCACAGACGAGGTGGCTTGGATGAGACAACAGCAAGTTGAGAAAGAGGGGGAGAGAGATAGATAGATAGATAGATAGATAGATAGATAGACAGACAGACAGACAGACAGACAGACAGACAGCCAGCCAGCCAGCCAGACAGACAGACAGACAGACAGACAGACAGACAGATAGATAGATAGATAGATAGATAGGAAAGATAGAAAAAACGAAAGAAAGAAAGAACGAACGAAATAGAGAAAGAAAGAACAAACGAAATAGAGCAAGAAAGAAAGAAAGAAAGAAATAAAGAAAGAAAGACATAAAGAATGAAAGAAAGAAAGAAAGAAAGAAAGAACGAACGAACGAACGAACGAACGAAAGAAAGACAGACAGACAGACAGACAGAAAGAAAGATAGATAGATAGATAGCCAGCCAGCCAGCCAGCCAGCCTAGGCAGGCAGGCCAGGCAGGCAGGGCAGGCAGGGCAGGCGGGGGCAGGGCAGGCGGGGGCAGGGCAGGCGGGGGCAGGGCAGGGCAGGGCAGGGCAGGGCAGGGCAGGGCAGGGCAGCGCAGGGCAGGGCAGCGCAGCGCAGCGCAGCGCAGCGCAGCGCAGCGCAGCGCAGCGCAGGGCAGGGCAGGGCAGGGCAGACAGACAGACAGACAGACAGACAGAGAGATGTGAAATTCAACATGACATTGTTCCCAACATTGAGGGAGATATCTCAACATTGTGGCTCAACACTAGGGCCCTTGAGCACATTCAACATACAAGCAAAAGGCGCGAGCGTTTAAGCAAACAGGTCAACAATACTTCTAACGTTACATGGTAGCGGAGCAGACCTGGAAACGACCCGGGCTGCTCAACTGATCAACCGATCAGACAAACAAAGCATAGCATCAACGGCAATTGCCGGAGAGGCTTGATCTACTGGTCAGCAACAGGCCAGTAGGGACTTCTTGACAATGGCGCAAGCAGGGGAACAACAAGCACAAGAACCACAGGAAGCATTAGCAAGCTCACACAAGTACCGCATCAATCCACCAACATTTGACGGCAACTATGCACACTTCGAGGAATGGAAGTACAAATTCACAGCATACATGGGACTCACCAACAACAGGTATCCACTACTGCTAGACCAGACAGCAGCAGCAGCCACCCTCATTGATGAGGCAGGACTACGAGGAGCAGCATCAACAACAGAAGAAGCCAACGAGAACATCCAAATGTCAGCAGATCTGAAGTACATCCTCACCAGCATCGCCAGTGGATCAGCAGCCATGATTTGCAGACAATATCAGCAGACAACAGGCTTCGAGATATGGAGACAACTCCATGTCCGGTTCATGATTCCAACAGGAACTCGAAGAATCGGTTATCTCGCACGACTTCTCAACCCAACATTCGATCAGCGCAACTTTGAAGAGTCTTTCGCGCAATGTGAATATGAAGTCAACAGATTTGAGACAGACAACCAATCACCATTACCAGACGCAATCAAAGTCGCCATCTTGCTCAACGAGACCAACGGTTCACTACAGCAACATTTACAACTACAAGCAGGCGCAAATCCAACATACACACACATCAGAACAACCATCATGGAATACTACAAGTCGATTACAGCCTTCAGCAGGATGTAACAAGCCACACCAGCTCAAGGAAAAGGAAAGACAGGAGCAATCAACAAAGGAAAAGGAAGGGCTACAAAGGAAAGAGCAACAAGGGCAAAAACAAGCAGAACAACGGCTACAACGACAGAAAGGGAAAAGGCAATGGAAGCTACAACAAAGGAGGATTCGGCAAGGGCAAAGGAAAGATACAGATGCAACAGAAAGGATGGCAACAACAGCCGATTGCGCAAGGCAATCCATTCAGCAAGCGCCATGGACAAGCACCACACAAAGGCAACAAAGGAAAAGGCAAAGGTAAGCCGGCCACAGCAGTCTGCTACAAGTGCGGCAACCCAGGTCACATGGCCCGGGATTGTCGAGTGGCAGTTTACAACGTGGGGGAAGCGACGTATGAAGATCAGACACAAGCATGGTGGAATGACCAACAGTATGATGCAACGTGGTGGAGCCAGGACTTACGACATGTTCAGCAGCCGCAGTCGCAACAGCAGTTGGCCTTACCACCAGCCCCAGCATATCCAGTAGCTCAAGCAAACGCTGAGCAAATCCACTTCATCAGCGGGGTCGGCAACGACCTTCTCATTGCAGCCATTGGACATCAACAGGTAAGCAAGACACAGAGTACAACAGATTCCAGCAGAGCACATCTCACAATGGACAGTGGGGCAGCAACCTATGTACGCCCAACATGGTTTGCGCCAGCGTCACACACGCGCCCACTCAGCAATGAACAAGACCAAGACTTCGATCAGTGACCAACGACAACATCCAGCTGTTTGGGCACGAATGGGTCTACGTGCAGAACACATGGACAAAGCATCGTCATCCCTTTCTACGTATGCAATGCCCATCAACCCATTCTGTCAGTCACTAGACTGGCTGAATAAGGATTTACATTGCAGTTCGGGGACAACCCGCACATTGAACACAGTGAAGGGTTTCGATCAGCACTGGAACAGAAGGATAGCCTGTATTATCTCAACACAGAGATTCTTCAACTGCCAGAGGATCACAGGCTACACGTCGAACAGGCCGACGACGGAACAGTCTCGGCCACGATCGCGCCAACAACAGCTCTCACACCTGATGGTCCAACAGTCGTTCTTGGACATACAACAGTGAGGGTTACCTGGTGCTTGTCCACAAGTTTCCACGCAAGGCACTGATTCAACCAGAACGCACATGTACAGGCACACCTTCAAGAGTACACCACCTACGACAACAGCAATCCCACCTCGGGAAGTACATTGTGGCAACATCTGATTGCTGGGCGCGGGAAGGACACTTTTGGAAACGTGTCCACATCCAGCCACGAACAACCTTCTACATTCCAGAGCGAACAGACGACGAACCAGACATCAGCAAGTTGAAAGCATGGAGACAGACATTCACAGTGGCAGTAGGGAACAAGCGCAAAGGCAACAGGTATGAAGATGATTGGGGCTGAGCAAAGCCCTGAACTATGAGTGGACAGGACCCACTAACTTTGAGGAAGCAACAGAGTACAACGCCGAATACGACACAGATGAAGGAGAGCAACAACAGGCAGCAAGGAAAGCAACAGAGGTACCTAGACAACAACAGCCAACGGCTCAGGAACGGGCAGAGCACGAGCTAACGCATTTGCCTTACCGCGCCTGGTGTGACATCTTCGTTCGCGCCAAAGGCAAGACCAAGAGTCATCCAAAACAGAAGAGCAGTCAACCAGTCACCCAGGTCGACCTGACCTACATCAAGAGCCTCGACGGCAAGCCCACAACACCAATCCTGACAGCAATTGACGTCGAGACTGGAGTGAGCGTGGCAACACTCATCCAGGATCGAATTTAACATTTTGAGTATTTAGTCAACTGCGCGTGCAACTTCCTTACGGAGTCCGAAAGGGCACAGGCCATCCTGGCATCAAGAACAATTTCTCATCAACCTTCTGAAAGCAACAGCTTTACGACTAGGAAACAGCATCTCAGTCAGACAGAGCGCAGCGTACAGCAGCCAATCACAAGGTTCAGTGGAGCGATTTCACAGAACACTGATCTCACAAACCAGATCACTTCGAGCGCAAGTCAAACAATACTATGACAGAGGCATCAACGGCGAGCGACCGCTTATGCCGTGGCTAGTAAGGCGTTCCAACTACTTACTCAACTGCTACCTCGTTCACAACGATGGCAACTCCAGCTTCTACAGACGCTGGGGAAAGGAACGCAAAACCCCCATCTGCATGTTTGCAGAAACAGTTCAACACATGGTTCAGGCAGCAAAGACAATGCCAAAGCTTGAGCAGCGCTTCTTCAAAGACATCTGTCTTGGCAAGGATACAGCAACACAAGAACACACCATTGGCATTGCCAACAGAGTCGTCAGAGCACGAACAATTCGGAGGATGGCTCATCCAGACAACTTCGACAAACAACTCTTAGACATCATCAACTCGTATCGTGGACACCCATTTCAACACCTCCAACAGGCGTTGTGCCACTTGCCATTTCGGCACCGAAGCCATCAGCAACGGCAGAGACACAGGCTGTCGACGCGCGACCACTGATCACAAGCAAGCGCACAAGCGACCGACAAGAATCAGAGGGGAACGAGCGCAGAAGGGTCATTACGAACGTCCCCCTTGCAACGTCGCCAACATCTCAACAGAAGAGACAAGCGCTACCAATGCCAACACTAGGAGACGGCTCACCAATCAAGCGAAGCCTTGAAGCACCAACAACAACCTCAGCAACGAAGCGTGAGCCGAAGCAAGTCCGAACAACTCCCAAGATCAGCGGCCCAGCAACAGGAAGCACAGAACAACCAGCAACGAGACTGAGGATCTCAGCACTTCAGGTGACAACAAAGAAAGGAGAAACAATTACAGCAACAGCAAGTGAAGATGAGGAGGAAGCAACAACAGAACGCATCCTTCTAGAACCAATCATCCATGACACAGAAGGATTCGACAAGCAAAAGCTCATCACTGGCATGAAGAAAGAGATCGACTCCATGAGGCAACAACAGGTCTTCACAGAACGACACATTGACGAGCTCACTCCCGAAGGACAACAGACCATCATCCAGAGCAAATGGGTTCACACGAAAAAAGCCGATGACGTTCGATGTCGCATCGTCGCCAAAGGCTTCACAGAGCGCGTCAACGATGCCGATGACATCTATGCCTCAACACCGGTGTTTGCAGTGCTCAGATGGCTTCTGGCACTAGCGCTCACATTCCGATGGAGCATCGCAACAGGTGACGCCAGCGCAGCCTTTCTACACGCAGCTGCAGCAGTGACAACAGCATTACACGTGTATCCACCAACAGAGTTCTACCATGCTGCAGACCGCATACTCTCGAGATTGAACAAGGCCCTTTATGGAGAAAGGCCTGGCAGGATCATCTCGCAGACATCCTTCAACATGTGACAATGTGTTGAAGCTGGAGCACCTCAGAACAGAACCAACGTCTTCAAGACACCAGGCAACACTCGCTCAACAACAGCGTTCTTGATGGTTTACGTAGACGACCTTTTCTTCCTGGGTCCACACGAGACCAGCAACAAGATCTTCAAGCAGATTCAACAGCTTCTTCTTGTTCTTGTTCTTGTTCTTCTTCTTCTTCTTCTTTGATGCATATGTAGCGCAGAGAGTGAACTCTACGCGATCGGAACAGGAACAATTGAATCACTACACCTCAGCTATTTCCTCAAGGAACTACACTGCAACCTCAAGATCAACATCTGCATTCTCACTGACTCATCAGCAGGAAAGTCCATTGCAACACGCGTTGGCAAAACACATCCAGATCAAGTATCTCTTCGTGCAACAACTCGTTCAGGCCAACATCATTTCAGTCGCGAAGATAAGGAGCAATGACAACAGAGCAGACGTCTTCACCAAGCATGTGACTCCTGAAACATTCAGGAGGCATCTGCAAGCCATCGGTCTCATTGACTCATTGACGGAAACAACAACTCACACAATGGAGAAGCTAGCGGTTTCACAGCAGCAATCTTCAACATGAAGATCAAGCAGTCAGCAAACATGCATGCAGCATGACTTCCAACATGGAGGTCGAGCAATGGGTTTCAAGCAAATGTGTCTCAACAAGAGATGCAAATGATAGTCACGTGCGCGTGCGTGTACAGCGTGAGCAGTGCGAAGACACACGTAGACAGTGCACATTTAGAATTTCGATGCCATGGTTCGGTTCGATGCCGTTCTCTCAACAGAGACGAAGTCCATCGATTACACGATCTCTCCTTTGGTTTCGACACTTTTTGCCGATCGATCGCTCCAACATGGTTTTCATGCACGTCAACACTTTTCAGTCTCAACGTGTGATTTCGAAAGGCGCTTTGAATTCAACGTTTTTGCCGCCCTTTCGTTCAGAGCTCAACAGCCAGAAGCGTCAACTTTGCCTTCAACCTCGGTAACATGGCTGTGGTTCAACTCACTCCGATGACGGGAACATGTCAGGTCTATGAGGCCACATTCCCGATTTCAACGCATGGAGGTCAGAGAAGAGGACACCAACATGCGCAGCCCACTTAACGTCAACCCGGACATCAACACTGGCTCGATCACTGTGAACAACCTCTGAGCCTTTCAACGAAGGGTCAACACTGGAGTCAACGGGTGCGTAAGTCACTAGATGACTCAACAGTGTCAGTTTTTGCCAGATTGCTGTCTCAACACGAGATTGATCTGACGGACGGTGTGAAATTCAACATGACACTGTTCCCAACATTGAGGGAGATACCTCAACATTGTAGCTCAACACTAGGGCCCTTGAGCACATTCAACATACAAACAAAAAACGCGAACATTTAAGCAAACAGTTCAACAATACTTCAAACTTTACGAGAGAGAGAGAGAGAGAAAGAAAAGAAAAGAAAATAAAAGAAAAGAAAAGAAAAGAAAAGAAAAGGAAAGGAAAGGAAAGGAAAGGAAAAGAAAGAAAGAAAGAAAGAAAAAAAAGAAAGAAAGAAAGAACGAAAGAAAGAAAGAAAGAGAGAGAGAGAGAGAGAGAGAAAGAGAGAGAGAGAGAGAGACGAAGAGCAAGATGGAACTATGTCATATTGTTGCAATCTTTGAGCAACTAAATTCTACGGGTATGCAGTTTGACAACAGCTGCATAGCTTTGGCAAGCAAGAGAGCTCAGAAAACGTGCAGGTCAGCCGCGCATGCGGCTTGAAGGCTGCTGGAAATTTTCAGATTCAACAGCCTGTGGTCATCCTTATGTTCGCAAAGAGCCCCACGGCTTCATGTCCAGGAGCGTCCCAATTCCTGCAACGCCAATCTCTATCAGACTGGTGCAGACAACGCAGTAACCTCAGTCACCTACCGGGTTCCGGCATGAGTATCCTATGAGTTATGGGTGGGCGCTGCTGTGCGCTTGTGTCAAATGCTTGGCAGATTTTAGGTCAGCTGGCACTGTGATGACGAGCCGCTCTTTGACGCAACAGGTTTTGAGCATCACTTTCGGTCAGAGCATGATTACTGAGTACAATAAGAAAAGACAAATATCTGAAAAATATAAAACAGAAAAACCCTAAAAGTCTAAAAAAGAAGGAAAACAACATGAACAGAAAAGATCTATCATCTTCCTCAGTTTGAAGAGAAGACCTTTTGACGGCCATCTCTCGAGATTGCAGGCCGCGATGCCCTCATTGTATCTCTGTCGCTGGGTGCAACGAGGACCTACCTGGACCCCTTCCTTTCTTTCTTTTCTTGGCACTCTTTCTCTTTTCATTCTTGAAACAGTGTTTATCTTTAGACCTTTAGATCAGTGTTTTTGCCTACTTTCTTTGTGTTTCCATTCTCTTTAGACCTTTTAGGCCTTTCCTTCCATCCATCCATCCATTCCTTTATTTTCTGTTGCTATCGTTCCAAATTCGCAGGTCTTTCCAGCTCCGCCCAAAAGACGATCCATTTGAAGAGACCTTGGTGCTTTTGGAGGACATTCTTCATGATTCCATTCGTCATGTCATGTGTGATGTCATATTCATCTTTATTTCTTAGTGGACGCCCACAATTACTGCCAAGGAAACACGTAATTCGATGTACCCTCTTGCTTCACCACAGAATTTAATCCAAAGCAAAGCCAAATCCACAGACTCTGTGTCACAAGTCTTGAAGGCAGACAAAGACGGCTAAGATAAGCAGTCACAAGCAAAGCAGCGACGGGTTTTTTGGTTTGTTCTCTTTATATACACACATTATGATTTTTCCTATTCTCTTCTCTTTAGATGTTTGACCTTTCTTTTTCCTCGTTTCTTTCTTTGTTTCCCTTTAGGTTTGAAGACAAAAAATGCTTTTAAACATATATTCACAGCTTCTAATGCAACTTCCTTTTGGCCGCCATCGGCCCTTGAGCGACTTCTAGCAACTCCCAAATGTTTCAGCCCACTGAGCGACGTTGGTGTGTGTGGGTAATGGCAGCTTGATGACCCTGCCGGGCCACAATGACCATGTTTTACAAGAAAACATTCGGTGCCCCAGTGACAATACATTACCATTATGTGAAGATTTCTGCATTTTGAATGGAGGCTTTCCAGGTGAATTGTCAGGTTTATAGTTTTACAAGTTGCGGTTGTATTTTCTTGCTTTGAATGGCAGGATGGTGATCTTTGCACCATGGAAGGCCTTTGTCTCTCACTGAGTGATTTTACGTATGGCTTTGCTGCTTTGCCACCCGACACCGCCCTGCCATGGTGGCCGTTGTGCAACAATGATAGTTTTACAGGAGAAACGCGACAGGAAGAAAGGTTGGCATATGTTTTTCTAAACAAATAGGAACCAAATGAATAGCACGAGCTATCTCGCCTCCAGTAGGTAGCAACTTCTTAAGCTAATAATAGCTGCCTCTATGGCCTACTCCCCCCCGTGGGCTAAGCAGAAATGGAAGACGCTTCTGGCCTAGTAGCGTCCTTGCTCCTAGTAGCGATGCCCTTTGTTACTAGTAGCGAGCCTTGTTCCTAGTAGCGATGCCAGGAGCCCCTAGTAGCGTCCTTGCTACTTCCACCCAGAAGCAACTCAGACGAATCGAGTCCAAGGTCAGAAGCACTATCGGCATCGTGTTCCTCCAGAGGAGGATGTCGTGGCCTGGATGCCCAAAAGGAGAAAGGATGCGTAAAATTTTGTCACGATGCGTTGAGGTTGTGCTTCTTGCAACGTTTGTCTTCTAAGTCCTGTCCAAGGAGCCTCGCATCAACTTGACCTGGCGATGGATTGTCCAGCATGACGATGTTTGCACAGGTGGATGACTTGCCCAAACAGGCATCATCTCGCCTTCGGCCTTCTGAAAAAGCCCGCTTCGACTTCCAGTCGTCTCAGTGTTTGTTCACAAAGTGATTTGGAGTCTTCTCACTTTGAAGCCAAAGACTTTCTCTGCTAAATTAGATTCTAATTAAATTCCATGTATTGTTTCTACTAGCTTGTTCCTAGTAGTAAGGCCCTTGTTCCTAGTAGCGATGCCAGGAGCCCATAGTAGCGTCCGATAGCTCACACTTTGAAGCCAAAGACCACTTCATATCAATGTTCAATGCAGAAGCTGGCTGTGACATCGTGAGATAGGCCTTGTAGCGCCACATATTGGTAAATATACTCCACAAGTGATCCACGTTGAAACCAAGACAGAGACATCAGCAACTCACCTAAACTCAGAACAAACCGTTCAACCCTACCTATAGCCTATAGCCACATCCTCTCTCTCCCTTGCTGTAGAGGGAACAGCCTACTTGGAATTAAACATGAAAACCCGAGTTTTGTTTCTGGTCCAATTGTATCCTCTTAGGTTGGAGACCATCGCTCCCTAGCTACTACTTACCTCTAGCAGCCTACCCTCCCAAAAGATAGAAAAGACACAACGAAGCAAGTTTGTTCTCCGGTGCTCAGGGCACCAGACCATGTGAAGTCTTCCGGGTGACTGATGTGTTAAACAGTATTGACATCTAAAGTAAACTTTCAAGAAGTAGTAATCAATGCTAGATAGTGCTAGTAGAGCTGCTAGCATCTACTAGCAAACGTTGCTAGTGCTTTAGTTGCCATGCTGCGCCTGGGACTCGTGGTGGCTGGTGTGATTCTTGCTGATACGACGTCCTGCAGCAAAGAACGCCTCCGAAAGCGCCGTCCCTAGAGGTCCAGAAGATTTGAGATATTTGATAACAATTTGAGAAAACAACGTTATCAAGGTGGCTCACTTGAACGGAGGAAGATGTGGCCATTTTCATGAGATGCAGTCATCATGCCTTCTCGAAGACCTGTTGCCTGCCCTTCTCCATGGAATTTGGTTGATAACTTGCTCGTCTTGATCTTTTGCCCATTTTTGAAGGTTTTGTTTATCCTTTGATTCCTTCGATCTTTCTTTTGTGTTGCAAAGTTGTGTGGCTTCTCTCTCTCTCTCTGCATTCTGGCTGCTACTGAACTGCATCGTTTTTCTTCTTCCTGATGCCTTCCATTTTTTAGCAGGCTGAAATAACGATTTCAGTAGGTGTAAAGTCAGAAAGGCTTAGGTCGAGGTATTGGCTGTATTGAGTTTGAACCCCCACGCAGCTTAGAACTATTGGTGACAGGAACCGTCTCAAATTCAGGACAAGAATAGCAAAAGGAACCTAATAGCGGCCTCCAACCTAAGAGCAATCGGCCGTCTGAAATATTTGCAAATCATGTTTGTCGCCCGTCTTCTCGAAGAACTGCGGAAGCTGATGCAATGGATCGCTGACATCCAAAAACTGAGTACGACTTGCCTTTCAAGGCCTTGATGTCCAGAGCATGGTGACCTGAAGATTTGATGACCTGCTGAAGAGCGCCTTTTTTTCTGTCATCCTATTTGCGAAGCAGGTTGCACTGCACGGCTGTCGCACCCGGCCTTTGTGATCCGGCCCAAAGCTTCCGCTTTCGGTGAAACATCTGAAACACGGATGAGTTCGCACTGACCTGGTGCTCACAATGAGCTTGCTGCCTCTCTAATTTTCCAGGGCAAGGGTCTAGGCATTCAGACTGCATCCGCTGAGACTATTGCGAGAAGAGCGACATCGCGCTTGGTCCTGCGAGAACGTTCATTTGAAAGTCATCGAGGACCAGCCCTGGGAGGTGGGGAGAGCGCAGAGGTTGAAACGTGTGAAGATGAGTGAACACGAAACGTGTCACAGCAGATCACAATGTTTTGAGCGCAGCAACAAGCGCAACAAAGCGTAGAGCACGGGTGCAGTGAGGCCTGGGCTTTAGATAGCCAACCTGCTTTCCAGCATCTGAATTTCAAGGCGCATATGCAGTCTATGCGGGAGCTTGTGGAGTCATGTAGAGTCGATTTCCGAGTTTTTTTTGGAAAATGCTGCGCTTTCTTCTCTCTCTCTCTCTCTTGATACTTGAAGTGCGACAGAGAGCGTGCAGTGTTTGTATTGGACTGAGATGCGAGCTTGAGTTTCAACAAGACTATGCAAACCATGAAACACATTCATTTAACCGGTTGATCTTCAGATCGCTCCGGCAGTCTTCAATCTGTTATTAGCCAGTTGTGAACAAACAGAATCGGAACACGCCCTCATTGAACAGATCTTGCGCAGGTATTGGACCCTCATCCTTTGAAGGATAGGGATGATGTCATTTGGAGCTTAGCCCAGTACCTTGGTCTTCAGATGCATGGTGACGGAGCATGCCCCCAAGGCACAGCATGGCATTGAGCTGAGGCCTCCGTACAACCAGACGATGCCTGATGGGACCAAGAGAAAACCGGAGGTGGTTACTGCACGCTTCCAACCCGCAGTGAGACAGCGGTGACTTGCTGTAAACGTTGACAGGAATTTAGAAGTCTGGAAGGAAACAAGTCGTGCAATGGTACGTGAGTCATATGAGCACCAAAATGCACCAAATGTGGAAGTACGCAAAGTACATGATTGCTCCAACTTCAAAACGACCACGAGACGGAGGGACTGAGTCGCTCGCAGTGTTTGAGGCTTTTGGACGAACATGCATGTACCGCCTGGACGCGCCTTTGCAGTTGAGGCACTGAACCGCACCTTGGTAGAATCTGATGAAAACGAGAGTCAGACAGACAGTGTCCAGTCCAGTTTGTCAAGGCTCCCAATAATGCCCTAGGGCCCTAGGTCTTTAAATATTGCTCTCCAAACAAGAGACAGCTTCTTCAGTCTCCTTCCGACAAAATGCCAGAAACAAGCGGTTGCAAAGAACGCATGCTTTGTGTATTACGTCGTTCCCTGTCCTGTGTGCTTCATTACTACTAGTAGCTAGAAGCTACTTACGGTGGAGGCCATCGCTATTAGGTTGGAGGCCATTCCTAGTAGGTTGGAGTAGGTTGGAGGCCATCCCGATTAGGTTGGAGGCCATTCTAGTAACAAAGGTCGTGTCTCCTTTGCAGGTCTGGACGTTGTGCGGGAGTGGATGCCTCAGCTCTTTAGCAACTTGGGTGTAGTGCCTCAGCTGCAAAGAGGCAGTTTGAGACACCGACTAAGTGTTTTTCACAAGCTGTCTGAACGATTTGTTCGCCCTCCCGTCTTAGGCGGGATCTGTGGACCTCTATGCAACACGCGTAGGGCGCAATAAGGTTGGATCCTATGGCTGGCACCTGGACAGGGAGATGGAAAAACACAAGAAAGTATTTCAGACAACTTAGTAACAAGAAGCTACTAGGGGCTCCTGGCCGTACTACTAGGAGCAAGGACGCTACTAGGGGCTCCTGGCATCGCTACTAGGAGCAAGAATGCTCCAGTCACCGGATCCACAGACTTGTCTTGAAGTATTTCCAAAAACGTGTTCCAGAAACTATTTCTGTCGGGATTCCGAGTCCCAGCACTTCCTCTTTCCGAACACACCGTTTCCAGTTTCCGAGCCCGGAGATTACGAACCCAACGTTTCAGTTTCCAAACTTTTAAGAAACAACTCCAAGGAACCTAATAGCGATGGCCTCCAAGCACCTACTAGCGATGGCCTCCAACCTAACAGCGATGGCCTCCACCCTACTAGCGATGGCCTCCAACCTAAATAGCGATTGCCTCCAACCTACCAGCGATGGCCTCCAACACAAATAGCGATTGCCTTCAACCTACCAGCG